AAAACAGCACATGTACAGAAAAGTGGATACAGAATCAATGTCCAGGTTAACACATTATTATAAAGTACATGCCAATGTCTCACATTAATTGTGGTATTTGCTGAGGCTTTTTTTTTTTTTTTGCGGTACGCGGGCCTCTCACTGTTGTGGCCTCTCCCATTTGCGGAGCACAGGCTCCAGACGCGCAGGCTCAGCGGCCATGGCTCACGGGCCCAGCCGCTCCGTGGCATGTGGGATCCTCCCAGACCGGGGCACGAACCCGTGTCCCCTGCATTGGCAGGTGGACTCTCAACCACTGCGCCACCAGGGAAGCCCTGAGGCTTTTAATAGATAATCTTTATCAGATAAAGCATGTTCTACTCTTAATTTGCTAAGAATGTTTAGAAAATCATGAATGGGTGTTGACCTCGCGGCATGTGGGATCTTAGTGTAAAGTGGGAAAAACAAATGTTGTGAACTGATGAATGGGTATGCAAAATGTGGCAGATCCATGGAATAGTGATCAGCCATAAAAAGGAATGAAATACTGACACATGTTATAACATCTTAAAAAGATGCCCTGGATTCAGCTTGCTGAGTTTTCATTTCAGACCTTTGCACTTATATTCATGAGTGATATTTGCTTATAATATTTCTTTCTTGCACTGCCCTTGTCAGGGTTTGGCATCAAGATTATGCCAGTCTCATTAAATGGATTTGGGATTGCATCCTCCTTTCCTTTGTTTCAGAATTCTTTTGTGTAAGGTAGACATGACTTCTTCCTTCAATGTTTAGTAAATAGATATCTCCATTGAAGCTATTATAAGTCTCGAGTTTTCTTTTGGAGAGGTTTTTAATAATGGATTTAATTTATTTAAATAGTTGTAAGATTATTCAGATTTCTATTTCTTTTTGTGTTGTTTTAGCACATTGTATTATTTTTGCTAGGCATCTGTTTATTCCAAAAAATTTCAAATTTATTGCCATAATCTTATCTAGATATCCTTTTATTATCCTATCCTATTATTGCCTTATCCTCTTGTTAGCTTTTTTGTTTTTTGGCTGCATTGGGTCTTCGTTGCTGCGCGCGGGTTTTCTCTAGTTGTGGCGAGCGGGGGCTACTCTTCGTTGCGGTGCGCGGGCTTCTCATTGCGGTGGCTTCTCTTGTTGCAGAGCACAGGCTCGAGGCGCGCAGGCTCAGTAGTTGTGGCGCATGCTCCGCGGCACGTAGGATCTTCGCGGACCAGGGATCGATACTGTGTCCCCTGCATTGGCAGGCGGATTCTTAACCACTGTGCCACCAGGGAAGTCCTTATTATCCTTTTAATGTGTGTAGGATATGTACTGATGTCCCCATTTTCATTCCTGATATTCATTATTTAGACCTCTCTCTTTCTGTAATGAATATCTAATTAGGGTTATTTATTTATTTATTTTTAACCAACTCTAGGCTTTTTTGATTTCCTTATTATATGATTTTTTCCACTTCATTAATTTTTATTAACTTCATTATTTCCTTTCTTCTACTTTCTTCTTTCCTCCTACTCCTCCTTCTGTTTTTCGTTTAACTTCTGAAATATATGTTTATTAAATTTAAGTCCTTTTTACTTTTCTAATAGATGCATTTAACGTTATAAAATGTCCTTAAGCATAACTCCAGATGCATCCCATAAGAGTCTTTTAAATTAAGGTATAATTTACATATAGTGAAATGTATAGATCTTAAGTGTATAATTCTGAGTTTTGACAAATTCGTGTAACTTGTATCACCTATCAAGATACAGAACATTTCCATCACCTGGAGTTCTTTAGTGTCCCTCCCAATCTTTCCCCCACCCATGAATCACTGTTGTAATTTCTATCACCGAAGGTTATTTTGCCTAATGTAGAACTTTGCATAAAGGGGATCATGAAGTTTATTCTCTTTTGATCTTTCACACAGTGTGTTTTTGAGATTCATCCATGTTGTTTTTTGTATCACTAATTCACTCCTTCTTATTAGTCTGTACTATGCTCTTACTATGAATATGCTACTAATTGTTTACCTGTTCCCCTGTTGGTGAACATTTGAGTTTCTTTTTCTTTCTTTCTTTCTTTCTCTCTTTCTTTCAAGTATAGTTGATTTACAGTGTTGTGTTAATTACTGCTATACAGCAAAGTGACTCAGTTATACATATATATACGTTCCTTTAAAATATATTCTTTTCCATTAGGGTTTATCATGGGATATTGACTATAGTTCCCTGTGCGGTACAGTAGGACCGTGCTGTCTCTCCATCCTCTATATAAAAGCTCACATCTGCTCACCCCAACCTCCCACTCCATTGAGTTACTTCTAATATGTTGGTATTATAAATAAAGCTGTGATAAAAATTCTTTTTTGTGGACATTTGTTTTTAACTTCTCTTAGATAAATATCTAGAAGTGAAATTGCTAGGTCAGAGGATAGATTCATGCTTTGTTTTATAAGAAAAGCACTTTTACAGTGTTCCAAAATTATGTATAAAGTGGAAACAACCCAAATGTCATGAAGTGATGAATGGATATACAAAATGTGGCAGATCCACACCATGGAATAATGTTCAGCCAGAAAAAGGAATGAAACATTGATACATGTTATAACATGGATGAATCTTAAAAAGATTATGCTAAGTAAAAGAAGTCAGACAAAAAAGATCATATATTGTATGCTTCCATTTATATGAAATGTCCAGAAAGGCAAGTCCATAGAGACAGAAAGATTAGTGGTCTCCAGAGGCTTCAGGGAAGGGGTAGGTGAGGAGTCACTACTAATGGGTACAGGGCTTCTTTCTGGGGTGATGAAAACATTCTGGAATTGGATAGAGTTCATGGTTGTACAACTTTGTGAATATCCTAAAACCCATGGAAGTATACATTTTCAAAGTGTAAAATTTATGATATGCAAATTATATCTTAACTTTAAAAGTGGACAGAAGTAAATTCTTAGTTTTCAACATGCTTTATTTAACTTTAGAAAGGAAGAAAATTATCCCAGCTTTAAACTTAGCAAATTAGAAAAAGATACGTGGTAATCTCAAGGAAATAAAATTATATCTATGAGAAATTAATAACTTAAAACTAAAAACAGTAACATTTACCAACTAAATCTCAAAATGGTTTAGCACAGGAAAAAAGAAAGAGTAAGAGGGGGAGGAAAAACATGAAGGAGGAAATCTTGTGACACATGTAATCAATAAAATAAAACAGCACATGTCATCAAAATGTGTCATTATAATAGGTATGAAAAATTTAATTATTAAAGGATACTTTATATTTGCAGAACTTTATGCTAATACACTGTAAAATAGATATCTTTTGGGGAAAAACAAAACAAAAGAACAGAATTTATTAAAGAATAATAAGAAAGCTTAAATAGGTCAATATTCATGGAGAAAAAAATTTAAGTAATCAAAGAATTTGCCCCAATGAAGAATTTGCCAGATAGTTTTCTAGCCAATTTTTTAAGATCCGAAAGAAACCAAAATTCCTTTGCTCTATTTATGTTCTGATCTCAGAGCACAAAATAATGGAAATCTGCCAGATCAATTGTGTGAAAGTAGCATATCTCTACTACCAACGCTGACAAAGACACACAAGGAAAATGACAGAAAGAGCCTCCCTTATGAGTATGGATCTGAGTTGAGCCCGGACAGCAGGCTCTGCCGGCAGACGGGTTTGGGTGGCCCGGGCTGGATTGCTGTTGTTTCTAAATAAGCCAGAGTTTTAAAATTGAGAGGTTCCACCCCAAACCCAGAATTTGGACTCCTCCAGAAAAATGAAAAGATCTTAAATTACACTGCTTGCTTCTTGCATGAGGACAGTGGGCTGAGTGGGAGGGGTCACGCCTCTGCGGGGGGCGTTTGCTCTCCAGATTGCCCTGGTCCTCACTACCTCCCAGGGTCTGACACTGATGCCATTCTTCATCATGCTTGAAGTGTTGTTTTTCTTATAATAAAGATACATTTCTCTGTATCTTGAATCTTTCAAAGGCGAGAAAATGAAAGAAAGAGTAAGAACATTTATATCGGGAAATGCTGCTTTACTCTGATACCTGCCTTACTGCAAAGCTATAGTATTCAAGACAGTGTGGATTGGCAAAAGGACAGACAAATGGATCAATGGAACAGAATGGAAAATCCATAAAGAACTCACATATTTGCTTTTCTTTTTTTTGCGGTACGCAGACCTCTCACTGTTGTGGCCTCTCCCATTGCGGAGCACAGGCTCCGGACACACAGGCTAAGCGGCCATGGCTCACGGCCCCAGCCGCTCCACGACATGTGGGATCTTCCCGGACCGGGGCACGAACCCTTGTCCCCTGCATCAGCAGGCGGACTCTCAACCACTGCACCACCAGGGAAGCCCACAGATTCGCTTTTTGACAAAGGAACCAAAGCAATTCAATGGGGAGAAAAGGGATCTGGGCGTTACAGATTCCATAGCATGGGGAGACTGATTTGCATCACTGTTTTGGTCGATTTCAAAGGCGTTCCTTCCAGGGTGGTTTACAGTAGAACCGCTCGAAACAATTAGAACCGTTAGGAAGTTTCTCCAGGGCTAGGTGATGCGGGTGTTTCAGCTGAACCTCCTGAGGTCCTCAGTACAAAGTCATCTTCTGTGGAAATGGGTCCTCTGGTCTTTCTTCCCCATCAGACCAGCATAACACAGAGATGGTTGCAAAAGGACATTGCTGGAAATAGAAAGACTTACTGGCCACAGAGAAGGGGAGAGGGGGTGAACTACAGGAAGTTATTATTGCTCTGTGTCAACGTTTTTGTTTCTTTAAGGTCTGTAGTTGTGCTTTTATGGGATTTTCCTGGTGGCTTTGATCTGGTAGAATTTTGAAGAACAAGAGGTCTTTATGTGTAAGGTATATTCCTTTCTTGACGGCTACTTAACTCATGAGGACCTTGGGTTTATTGGAACGATCCACAATGCAGGAGGTTGTGGCCCTGCCCTCAGGATGGGAGGTGACAGGTACACGGATTCGTGTTTTCCAGGCTCATCTTCCATCACCGGCCCCAAAGCAGTGAGCAGCCTAGAGAGGGGCTCGTTGACTGTGCAGTGTCGATACAGCCCTGGGTGGGAGAAGCATGTGAAGTGGTGGTGCCGAGGAGCTGCTTGGAGCAGCTGCGAGTTCGTCGTTAAAACCACTGAACCAGAGAAGGAGGTGAAGAAGGACCGCGTGTCCATCAGGGACAACAGGAAAAACCGCACCATCGCCGTGACCATGGAGAAGCTCAGGCTAAACGATGCAGACACTTACTGGTGTGGGATTGAGAGATTTGGAACTGACCTTGGGGTCCAAGTTAAAGTGACCATTGACCCAGGTAAGCGTATGTGTATGTGTAGATGTGTCTCTTCAGGGCCTGCTCTGTCCTGGTCCCTGGGGTCTCTCTTTAGTGACTTGTCACTCAGAGTGAACTGTCACAGAGGGTGGGGGAGTCCTGAGGTCTCATGGAACCCACACTGACCACCTGGGATTGGGTGGGGCAAGGCTTCCCTTAGAGGCTCTCATGGCCCCCAGGGCCTCCTCCAGGATGGGACAAGCCTTTCTCGACACATTATTTTTCCCAGTGCCCGAGTCTATTGCCCATGGAGATCAAGGTGATGGTCTCACCCGGAGACCCTAATTTCTGCTAATGTTTTCCTGGGACCCCCATTGCCCAGGTGTTCCTATTCTTTCTGGAATTTGGGGCTGGGTCTTCAGAGCTGCAGCTCCCACTCCCTGGTCCATATCCCATCTCAGGGGGAAAGACCCAGCACAGTGGGGCTGCTGTGGTTAATTCCTGGGGTCTGGAAAGGCCTCCACAATCAAAGGGCTGCATTCCCAGGTGCCTGAAATCCCATCATTTGCCATTTACACATTTGGGATTAAGGATGTTCTCTTCCTAAATCCTTTCAGAATGCAAACACTCTGAGCGTGTCGGCTCAGGGGTCTCAGTGCCTTGGTCTGATCGAGTTTATCTGTTGGGCTCTGCTTCTGCTGACCCTCGGACAGGTGACACCGGCTCATTGGGCACCTGTGGCAACGGGGGTGGGCGCACAGTCAACGGAGCCTCCACCACACCAGGAACGTGTGAGGCTTGTTATACTTGCAAAGCACAGCCTCATTTCGTTCAATCCTGACAACGTTCCTGAGATGTAACTATCCCCATTGTGAAAGCTTTATAACTTGCCCCAAGTAAAGGCTCTTCCTGAACCTCAGGATTTTGCTCAGGGCTGGTCCTCATGTTTGAAGTCACAGATTTGGGGTATGTCAGCCACCTGAGAGCCCCCATTCTGTTGTTCATGTCCTTGTGGATAAATAAGGTGAGAGGCACTGGCCACTGGCCGAGGCCCTGTCATAAGCAGCCGGAGTGTTTGAATTCCAGCTGAACTCCAGCTGCCCTTGTCCTGAGGCAAGCCTGGCCCCCCCAACCTTCCAAGTTCTGCTTGATGTCCTCCCCGGACCTGTGCCAGCTCCACCTGCCTCTGAGGCTCTGAGTCTCCTAGCGGCCAGGGAGATATGAGCAGTCCAGGCTATAGGCCCTCTCCCTTGGCCCTGCTCCAGACTCCTCAGGTAGCCCATGATCCCCACCCCCCCACCCCACTCCCGGCTCAGAGCCATGTTTAAGGCTGCGGGTGGGTGAACAGGCAGAGCAATGTGTAACCTGGTCTGTACGCCAAGCACCAACCGCAGTGCCGGCCACCACTCCTGCCACCTCTTCTATCAACACGTTCACAGTGCCAGTCAGCTTGGAACAGACCAGTGACTCCCTGGCTGTGACCAGCCCCGGCTCCAACAGCGGGTAAGCCAGCTCTGATGCTGCTGTTACATGTGGCCCACTTGGCCCAAACTCTTCCAAAGGGGGGACTTTTGTAGTCCCAGGTCCCAGCCAGAGCTTGTCTCCGGACCCTCAAGCTCAAGGATGCTGGGGCCTCCTCTCACTTACTCTCACAGCTCAGGAGGCCAGAATTGAAATCAAGGTGTCGGCAGGGTTGGCTCCTTCTTTGGGCTCAAAAGTAGACTCTGTCCCGGGCCTCTCTCGTAGCTTCTGGCGGTTGCCAGTAAGCCAAGCACTCCTTGGCTTATGGCAGCATCACTCCAATCTCAGCCTCTGTCATCACATGGCCTTTTCCCTCTGTGTCTGTGTGCCCCCATTTCCCTTTTATAAGGACACCAGTCATTGGATTCAGGCCCATCCTAATCCAGTATGACCTCACCTTAACTTGACGACCTCTGCAAAGATCTTATTTCCCAATGGGTCACCTTCTCCAGTTCCTAATGAATATGAATTACTGGATGAGGGACACTGTTCAGCCTGTACAAGGGGCAAGCTTAGAAGCAGGGAGGCCTTTTCAGAGCCTTTGCCATACAATTTCTGTTTGGCTTCTAGACCCACTGAGACACCTTGTGGAACCCTCCTCTCTCTTTTTTTAAAAAACCATCTTTGAGGGCACCCGGGAGTAGGGGTTCCCAGACTGGAAACCTCAGGCCTGGAGGTTGAAAGGTTTCAAGGCCTGTGGCTGTCCCTGCTCCCAGGTGGGTGGGATAAGGCCAAAGACAGGAGGTGAGCCTGGGTGCCTGGGGCATCCTCTGTTGTTCCCAGCAGTGTCTTCCTGAAGACCAGCATCCTCCTTCCCTTCATCTCTGCTGTGTTGCTTCTTCTCTTGATGGTGGCCTCACTTGTGGTTTGGAGAATGATGAAACAACAGAAGAAAGGTGAGGGGACTTGGCTGACACCGGGCTGGGGCTGGGCTGGGTGGAAGTGTGTGGGATTGATGGCCAGCATGGTCATCCGGGAACCATCAGCCCAAGGGAATACCTGCACAGTCTGGAAGGGGTGCCGTCCCAAAGGCCACAGCGACTGGAAGTTTGAGGGGCTGGGGCTTGGAGGTGAACCCAGGAGGTTTTGGACTCAATTCTACCTTGCTCATCCCTCTTTGCTCCTCTTGCCTCTCTGCTCTGCCTCCCTGTCTGTTTCTTGGTTTGGTTCCTGGTGGCAGAGATGGCAATGGCCTGAGGCGGGCAGCCTTCCTAGGGTCCCCAGACACTTTAGTAGAATTCCTGTGGTGGTCAAGGAGGTACTGAATAGACATGGGGGCATGGAGAAACACACACAGGCACACACACACACGCATGCACACGCATGGATGTATACACACATGCACGAGCACATGTTCATGCACGCACACACAACATAGCCCACACACGAACGCGCACATGTGCCTGTTCACACTCATACACAGTTCTCTGTGTTTTCTCAGGAATGTTGGTGGCCGCTCCTATGTTTGCCCTTCTTCCCTTCAGCCCTTTCTCAGGCTACCCTACTTGTTCTGTGTATATTTGCCCTTTAGGGAAGGGCCCCTGCTCACGAGTCTGCACTTGTCTATCACGAGGTCTGGCCTCGGCCAAACACTTTTCCTGTCTGGCTCCACTTCCACGTTCTCACATTAAGTGCACCTCCTCCCTTTCTCAGAACCCACTGGGATCTGGGAGCTCACGGGACCCTCTTTAACACTGCTCTGTCCCCACAGCCTGGGGAATCTTGTAGTTTGGAGAGACGGGAGCCTGACTCCTGTTCATCATACTTTCCCCCCAATGTATTGTCCGTGACCTAAGTTAAAAATACTTTCTGTCCCCCTCAGTATCTAAAAACCATAGGGAAAATCTTCTTGTTTCTTTGTTGTCTCCGAAGCTGGGGGCGTGACGGTGGCAGGGGGAGGGCAGGGAGAGAAAGAAACAGGAACCAGAGGGCACCTGAGAGCTGGTCCAGACAGTGATGACCCAGCTCGGGTACTCCACTCAGAGGGCGGCTTAGAGCCATCCCGTCTCGTGGACAGCTTGTACTGATGGAGCCCCTCTTGTGCCTGGTACAGTCCACACCCAGAAGGCATGGGAGGGACAGGCTCAGCCATCCAGCAGCCCGCATCCCACCTGAAGACCAACCAGAATTCAGTGGGACAAGGGTGATGAGACAGACATAAATCAAATGCCCTGGGAGCCAGGGAGGGAGGGATTCGACAGCCTGGATAGCTGGAGAAAGTAGGTGTGACTTTGAGTTGACCCCTGCAGGTGGAGAAATGGTGGCGTCACAGGCAGGATCCCAGCAGAAGTTTTAGGTTGAGCCTAATCCCGGGGGAGTTGATAATTGGCAGGGCCACCTGAGTAGCTGATTGCACAGTTCTGTGATGTGGGGAATGGATGGGCTGAGGTCTCCTTAGTTCTCATCTGAGGGATCAGAATTAGAACCAGGTCTCTTCTCTCTGAGCCCGAAGCCTAATTCACCTCTTTTCTCTCCCAGACCTGAGGGCGCCTGTGAGCCTCTGGATGGGCTTTCTAACTCTATTGCTTTTGTCTTTTAGCTGCTGGGATATCCCCAGAGCAGGTAAGAGAGTCCCCGAGGTCAGAGCAGAGACACCAGACACCTTTCCCTCACTTCCTTATTTTCCATCTCCCAGGAGCACCAAGGTCCAAATGTATCAGACAAACCCTGTGCCCAAATGTCCATATACTCATGACCCAGCTGCAAGGGCCGGGGAAGGGGCCCGGTTGTATGCTGGAATCAGCCAGAAGGGAGGAGGGCTTGGGAGGGGGAGGTGTGGGAGGCTAAGAGGAGATGGGGGTTGCAGAGGGAGCTGGGAGAGGGGGGTCCCAGGGGAGCCGAGAGCCACGCGTCCCTCCATGGAAGAGAAACCCGTGTTTCCTCTCCTAGGTGCTTCAGCCCGAGGAGGGCGACATCTGCTACACAAACCTGAGCCTGCAGCAGACTGAAAACTCTGGGTCATCCCGGAAGATGGCTTCCACGAGGTCCTCTTCCCCCGCCCAGGCCAACGTGGAGGAAGTGGATTATGTCACCATGGTATGCGCCTGGTGGGGCTGCTACGGGGCTCAGACCGGACCCGCTGTTGCCCTTCCTTTGAGGACCGGCTTTCTCCCGCCCACGTTGGAGGGTGGGTGCTGGGCCAAGATGCAGTCATTGAAAGACTTGCTGGCAGAGCTCCTGCGTGCTTTTGGCATTTGAAGTGCCTCCACACCAGGTCTTAGCATTGGGAGACTCAGAGCCCGGTCAGACACGGTCCTCATGCTGGGCAGGGGAGACCCAGACAGGCTGAGGGACCTGGGATTCCGTGCCAAATGTGCTGCCCTGGCATGGAATTGAGGGAGAGCATCTTCTGCCGTGGCCGGAGCTAAAGGTGCCTGGCAGAGTGGAGGGGGGAGCAGCTGGGGGGCCTGGGAGAAGACTCCAGAAGCCCTGGAGGGTCTGTCTCCCCAGGCTCCTCCAAGGTCTCCTCCGTCCATGGGCACAGCCTCCTGCCGGCCTCTCTAACCCCGAGGACGTCTTCATTGCAGGTTTCCTTTCTCAAGGAAGACATTGCCCGTACAGCTCTGTCTTTGGAAACCTCAGATCAAGAGCCAACCTATAGCAACATGGGGCACCTCATCACCCGCATTCCCAGCAGGAGCCATGAGGAACCCACGGAATACAGCGCCATCAAGAAGCCTTAGCCTGCGCTCCAGGTGCCCCTCTCAGACCCACTCGAGGCCTCTGAGTACGTTCCTGCTTCATCTGCTCTCTGCCTGCCCCCCAGTCCCCTCATGGGACCAGCCAGGTCCTGAGGCCTCCGTCTGATACAGTCAGCATCGTGGCCAGCTATGGTTTGGGCTCGGGGCCTAGTCTCAGGGAGCTTCTGGGAGTTAGACAGGGGTCTTTCCACATCCCTTTCTCTCCCACACAGCTTGGGAGGGGGCTGGGGATACACTCTGGAGCTGCTGAGGGGGCAATCACAATGGTAACGATAATAATAGTAATTCACTTTTATTTATTGCTTATCACGAGCGCTGGACTGAACAATGGTCCTAAGACTTATTGGCACCTGGACCCTCGGAACCTGTGAATGTTACCTTCTGTGGCATAAGGGACTGTGCAGGTGTAACAGAGTTGAGGATTGTGGATGGGGAGATGATTCTGGATTATCCAACTGGGCCCTGAATATAAGATCAAGGGTTCTTATAGGAGGGAGGCAAGAAGGTTACAGAGGAGAAGACAGTGTGATGGTGGGAGCAAAGGTCGGAGGGATGCAGCCAGGATCCACAGAACGCCGCAGCCTCCAGGAGCTGAAAAGGCAGGAATGGATCCTCCCCAGAGCCCCCGGAAGGAACCAGCCCGGCTGACGTCTTGACTTTAGCCCAGTGAAACTGATTTCATACTTCTGGTCTCCAGAATTGTAAGAGAATAAATTTGTATTGTGTTAATGAAGCCATTACATTTGTGGTAATTTGTTACAGCAGTACTAGGAAAAAATATACTATGTAACAGGTACTCTTCCCTAAATGCTTTACCTACAGTAACTAATTTAATCCTCACCACAACCCTAAGAGGACGCCTTTATTATTGTCCCCATTTTACAGAGGAGGAATCTGGGTACAGAGAGGTTCAGTGACTTACCAAATTTTACTGCTAGCAAGTGGATAAGTTAGAATTTGAACTTGGGCATTTTGGCTCCAGAATCTGGAGTCTGGGCCACCACCCTGGACTGTGCGTATAAGGAGGATAATGTGTGGTGTGTGTGTGTGTGCGTGTGTGTGAGTGTGTGTGTCTATACACAGCTACTCACACAGGGACAGCCATCGAGTATATACAGACGCTGGACTTGCTGTCTTTATTCTAGGGTCCTGGCAACTCTCCCTCTGGAATCCTGAATCTCATCCCAGCTTGCCATCTCCATGGTTACCAAACTAGTCCAGTCCCCGGCCTGGAGTCCCTCTTGTTCTCTGCTCCTGAGTCCAGTCTCCTCCCAGCAGCCAGGGGGATCTCTTTAAAGCACAGACCTGATCACTCCCTGCTTGTAACCTTCCAGTGGCTTCTTCCACAGCCCAGGAGGCCCCCAGGGTCCATGGGTCCCTGCCTGCCCCTAAGACCCTCTCTCTGGCTACTCTCCCTCTCACTTGCCCTGCTCTGCCCACACTGGACTTTCTTCCATCCTTCTAACAAGATAATACGTGGTCCCTTCTCAGGGCATTGGCACTTGCTATTCCTTCTTTCTGGAATGGTCTTCCAACGGATATGTGAATAGTTAGGTTTGCCAAAGAGAGAGAAAGGCAGGGAGAGAGGGAGGGAGGGAGAGAGGGAGAAAAGGAGAAAAGGGAATTCCCTGGTGGTCCAGTGGTTAGGACTCCGTGCTTTCACTGCAGGGACCTGTGTTCAATCCCTGGTCGGGGAGCTAAGATCCCACAAGCCACGTGGTGTGGCAAGAAAAAAAAAAAAAAAGCTTATTTTTATTATCACAGCTCAGCTCAAATGTTCCCTCCCAGGGTGGCCTTCCCAGACCCCCCTAACAGCAGTGGCCCCTGCTACACCTCTGATTCCTCTCTGTCACATTGCCCTAAGTAAGAGTAGTACTTGGGCTTCCCTGGTGGCGCAGTGGTTGAGAGTCCACCTGCCGATGCAGGGGACACGGGTTCGTGCCCCGGTCCGGGAAGATCCCACATGCGGCGGAGCGGCTGGGCCCGTGAGCCATGGCCGCTGAGACTGTGCGCCCGGAGCCTGTGCTCTGCAACGGGAAAGGCCACAACAGTGAGAGGCCCACGTACCGCAAAAAAAAAAAGTAGTACTTACTACTTTATGAGCTAACTTGTTTATTGGCACATGGGTTTACTGATTGCCCCCTCTCCACCAGGCTGTAGGCTGCCCAGACGTGGGGAATTTGTCTTACTCACTGCTGTATCCCCCGTGCCTAGTTTAATGTCAGGTACAGGGTGGGTTCTTGAATATTTATATGTTGACCGAATGAATAAGTAACGTGATGGTTCAGACTTGGGAACTCAGGGTGAGCTTTCAGGGGCAGGGACACCCGTGTCCATCACGTGAGGAAGGGACCCCTGGGTCACCTGAACAACCAGAGGGATTTCAGGATCCCCTTCCCAGCAGCATGCAGTGGAGAGACTTTTTTTCCCCCTCCCGAAATGAGAGCGGTGAGGCGCCATGATTCCCTTTGACTGGAGGACAAAGGTCTCTTCCTTTGCTTGGGTTTCTTTTGTTTGAGGCTGGAGGGAAGTGTCAGGGAAGGGAGTCATGACTTGGGAAGAAAGGACCAGCTCTGCCTGGGGGTCACAGACAAGTGCCCCAGCAGGTATTGGGACGGTAGGGATGTTTAGTTGGGCCATTATCAGTGTGTCCTGGGGTTTCCCCAACTTCTCACAGCTCTGGACATCCCAAGTAGTCTGGCGGAGGTGGCCTTAGTGGATGGCCATCTCATCTCAGCATGGGCTGCTCTTTCTTCTTGCCCCCACTCCCTGAAAGATGATTCCCTAGAATCTCAAGGGCTGTATCATCCTGGGAGAGCTTACGGAGCCCAAGCAAGCTTAAATATTCTTGGGCTGGTCACCTGAGCTGAGTGGGTCAGAGTAAGAGTGTTTTTGACCCAGGTGGTTTTAAGATTTACAGAGCGAGAAGTGCCTGTAGGGAGACCTTTAAATGAAAAAGTGAATTGAGCTCTATGAATAAGTCATAATAGACAGTCATGTTCTGAATGGCGTCACTGCGCCATTTTAACCGTTGTGCGTGAAGTGCCTTTACTGCTGAGTGTTTAAGCAGCCCGCACAAAATCGACTCGCTCAGTACAAGCTTCTGTCAGGTTGTAGGGGACTCATCTTCTCTGGAATCTACCACAGATACTAGTAAAGATTTACTGTCGTGAAACTTGTGACATAACTAGGAACACAGACTAGTATTCAGTTCCGTTTGATTTGGCTGGAGGAGTCTGGTTGCTTCTTCTTCCTCTTTTTTTTTTTTATTGGAGTATAATTGCTCCACGACGTTGTGTTAGCTTCTGCTGTACAATGAAGTGAATCAGCTCTATGTATACCTATATCCCCTCCCTCTTGGACTTCCCTCCCGCCCTGACTTTGTCTGCATGGTGGATATGGGCTGGATGTGGAAGGTCCTGGCCGCCTGGCTGAGCCGAGGAAAGGTAAATCAGCCTAGAAGACAGATTCACTCTGATTCACACTTTTAATTGCCTCATTCAAGCTTTAAAAAAGTGTCTACCAGATATATCGCGGCATATAATGTTTTTATCCCAGCTCGCAGCCATCTGGATGGGTGGCTGTCTGAAAAGAGACCTTCTCATGTCCTTAGAGATGTAGCTGAGCAGCCCATGATATTTGTGAAATTTGTCCAGTCCGTTCTGTAGCTGGATGGAGCAGATTTCTGACTGGTGGTCCTCACGGGAGGCATTTAGGTTCTTTAGGTTTTGGGTCGTGACTACAGGACTCTGCCCTGAAACCAGCCCGATTTGTTCAGTCCTGAGAGCGCTGGGGAAGTAGTCAGGGTAGGGGAAGGGAGGCAAACATGTGCAAGAGGTTTGAAGGGAAATTGTTTCATAATGTTTATAGACTGGCATCTAGGTGTTGTCTCAACCGTATCCGGCTGCTCCACAGAGACCCTGCTAAGGCAGACTTTGGGCTGTGGACTGGCACCTTTATTGCAAGAGAGAGAAAGTTCAGATAAGGTTCTGCTGATCTGAGTGAGGGTGGCATTTACCACTTTCCAGGAAAGCACATTCTGTTAAGACAAACTCTGAGAGATTTAACCACTCACTTCTGGTTGAGTGCACGATTATTTATAACCTGACTAAAGTTTCCGGGGTTTCCCTCCTTTGCTTTTTGAATGATTAATATTTAAAGATTCCACTTTATAAAAATTGGAGGGCTTGGGTAGTCTCCTTTTGAGAACTATGTGTATATTGCTGGCTTTCAGAAGACAGAGCCCTTTCTCTCTCTCTTATTTTTTTATTTATCTTTTTTTTTGCGGTACGCGGGCCTCTCGCTGTTGTGGCCTCTCCCGTTGCAGAGCGCAGGCTCTGGACGCGCAGGCCCAGCGGCCATGGCTCACGGGCCCAGCCGCTCCGCGGCACGTGGGATCTTCCCGGACCGGGGCACGAACCCGTGTCCCCTGCATCGGCAGGCGGACTCTCAACCACTGCGCCACCAGGGAAGCCCCAGAGCCCTTTAAAAAAAATTGAAGTGTAGTTGATTTCTGCTGTACAACAAAGTGATTCAGTTATACATATTATATATACACACATATATATATATCTTCTTTTTTCATATTCTTTTCCATTATGGTTTATCACAGGATACTGACTATAGCTCCCTGTGCTAGACAGTAGGACCTTGTGGTTTACCCTTTCTATATATAATAGTTTGCATCTGCTAACCCCAAACTCCCAATCCTTCCCTCTCCCACCCTCCCTCCCCCTTGGCAAACAAGTCCGTTCTCTATGGACAGAGCCCTTTTGAGAGTCAGTTGAGGGAGAAAAATATACTGCACTGGCGATCTTCAAAATACATGGCCTTTAGCAGGAAGGGCCAGCTAACACCTGTTGATTTCATGTATCAACAATTTTTTAGATCAGGAGGGACTGATATAGTCAGTAGTCAGCCTTTTATTTTATCAAGTAGGTGCATTCTTACCCAATGTAGTTGAAATTGTTATTGGTCAGCTCATTGGAAAAGTTGGTTAAATCAAGGAATCACACAAAAGATATATTCTTTCTCTAAATGCTTTCTTTGGCTCAAAATATCTAAATGTGTCGTCATTTGCTAGTATTTGGATGTAGCTCTAAGCCTCTTTTTCACTGATGGGTCTGCTGAAAGAGGGACTCATTGCCTTTTCTGCACAAATCACACACACTGTCTCGTCCTGGAGTTTCTAGTTCCAGTTTCCCTAACGTGAACAAGACATTCTAGATACTTACGACGCAATCTGATTGCAAAAGCTTTTTTCATTTTTATGTTTTCACTGTGAATATTTTACAGTCCTCTCCCTCATTCCTAATTTGATGTTTTTTTTTTAAAAATGGCATGCTCTAAAGCATTCAATTTAGTTTTTGTAGAAATAACCGTTCCCTTTGTTTACATTGTTTACATTGACATTGGTCTATATCCTTTCTGTTTACACTCTTAATTGGTTAGTTTATGGATGAATTCATTAAATTGCATAATTATAATTAACATGTTTGACCGGCTTAAACAAGTTTGGGCCTGAATGCCGTTGACTCTTGTTAAACACATACCTCAACAGGTGAGAGCAGAAGCGAGGGGATCTTCAAGAGAATCTGCCCATTGCCACAAGCATAAAGATAGTATGTTTCACCAAGAGATTGGAGGGTGCTGGCTGATCTAATAAGTTGGTTAAGAAAGGGGTTGGTTAAGACAGTTTCTACTAAACCATCTGTTATGACCATAGTTTCATAAAAGA